CAAACAAATCATAACAAGAGAGGCCAATTACATCCTTGCTTGTCGATATATGATGCTCAATTATATGAGTCGAATCACATCAACTTAACTAAACAAATTCTCTAAGCATTTTTTATATTGTAGAGAAAATCACGAAGAACATATAGTTTAATTAGATCCACTATTTGGATATGTAGTATCATGTAAATATTACTATAACTAAGTTAGTTGACATCCACACAATTCTCACATTTATTTCCGCATATTTAATTCTTCGGACTCAGACAAAACCGATTTTGATTACTGGTAGGTTTTTTGGTGACCTTATATTTATCCAACAGATTGAATGACTGCGTGGTATTAAATGCCATCAAAGTGGCAACCTAAGCCAGAGTATGAGAAAAATCGCTCGCGGTTTCATCGTGAGCAGTTGCAGCGCATGCATGCGGATAATCCTGTTATCTGCTAATCTTATACATCCGCCTCAGCAGTCAGCATGACCTGTATTTGGTGATTGCCTTGTCATTCCCTTTATCTATATTACTCCATTATAACTTATATGCTTTTTTTTTTATTTATCATAGAGAGTTTCATTTATCTATTACATAAATATTTCTCTAGGACCTTATAATTAGTTATGTGTTACGGTGTTTTGATAGCCGATAGAACCTTTATAGTAATTAGTTATGTGTACGTAACTGGTTAAATTGATAATTTAAAGGTAACATAGATGATTTCAATCATTCAAATGACCTTCCGAGGTTTTGTGAGAACCGTGGGAAACATTTGATCTCTTTTCTTTTTGGTCCAAAAAACATTGAAAATTGTCAAAAATCAAAGATAATAATATAATTTATCCTTTCATTTCATTTTTGAAGATTTTGGAATCTAATATCGAAAGCTCAAGTGATGGTTGGAGATGCTTCTCGGAATCATATAATGTTGTTTAAAATTATATACATCCTCTAATTAATCACCTAAAGACCCTTGGTGGCTTTCGGTCAGTGAAGGTCAGGGGGCGTGTATTTATATATGTAACTGGTTAAGCCGATAGTTTAAACGCAGAGTAGATGGTTCTAACAACCTAATTAGTCTCCCAAGGTCTCAAGGAGTCTAAGGGTTGCAGCTCGTCTTCTTTCCGTTTTGGACCCGAAAAAGTTGAAAATGGTCCAAAACTAGCTATAGGCTAATAATCAACGCTTTTAGACCATTTTTGGAAATTTTGAAACCTAATATTGCAAGATCCATTAGTATTATTATTGTACTTTGTATCTATTTTAAAATGTATATTCTTATTTTAATTATCTAGAAAGATCCATTTAGATTTTGGTGCAAGAATACAATATGAATACACTTAAGTAATGTACAACATACATATATACATACATTGATACATACTTTATACAATACAGAGTAAATCTAAATCTATAATTATTAATGTAAAAACCTTAGAGTGAAGAATTATTATAATCACGGTGCAAGCAATTGGAAAGCCATGCAATTTGTCAATCAATGCGGCTAATCTGACCACCAGAGTTTATCAACTTAATTTGTTTGCACCGAACAACGTTGTAAAATCTTATCTTAAAAATAAATTCATTATACATTAACATTTTACATTTTTGTGGCTATAAATACGCTTCATTTGGTATACGTACATTCATGCAAATACTAGCTATCTACTTATATTACAAGTATTTTCTAAAGATGAAGATCAAATGCTTCAACTATCTCTCTTTTACCTTCCTTTTCTTGTCCTTCTCTCTTTTACTCAATCTTGCTACTCCTACTTTGTTGTTTCAGGTATGTTAAACACTAATCAAAAGTAAGCATTTTTTAATACTAGATTAGATAGACATCTACATTTCAATTCTTATAATTCGACAACCTTTCGTGTGTAAATTATAACTTAATTTGTTGGAGGTTCGGAGGTAGGAGATCACACTCTGAGTCTATATCTTTCCAACATTCTCTTAGGGAGTCTGGTGTGTTACTACATAATTAAGCAGTGTTAATATATAAGACTTGATAAAAACAATGCTTAAGGAATTTTTTTTGTATTTGTTTAATGAAAATGTGACATTATATTAACAATCTTAAGATGATGACATTTTTTAAAAAAGCGCCTTAGGAGAGTTATATCTTAGCTTAATCTTATAGCTTGTGTTACATTTTGGTTTTTTCACTTTGAATTTTTCTCTGAACTAATTCTCCATTGTTATTAGGGATTCAATTGGGATTCATGCAATAAGCAAGGAAGTTTATATAGCTTTTTAAGCAACTCAATTGATGATTTGGCTAGAGCCGGAGTAACTCATGTGTGGCTTCCCCCGCCAAGCCATTCAGTTTCACCCCAAGGTAAACTTTAGTTTTTTTACAACTTTCTTTGTCCGAAATTAATATTCATAGCTTGGTGATGACGTAATTAAAATAAACTAGAAAAATATAATGTGACAAACAGTTAAATTTGAACAGAAAGAGTACTCCGTACTATTTTTTGTTACAAGGTATGAATAATTCATTGATAATTGTTATTTTTTGATTCTAGGAATATTTTAAATTTACTTTCCTTAAAATTAAATTATTTGAAAACATAGTATTTGTCTTTAACAGTGGACTTCCTTTCACTTTCTGCTTATTTGATGACATAGGGCATAAATTAAATACCCTGCAACACATATGACAAGGCAAACGGTTTTTTTTTTTTTTTTTTTTCTGTTTTCCTCTATGCGTGTTTGTGCGCGCGTGCATTTGGCAAAAAAACAATAAGAACAACCTAATCAATTATCGAGTAATTAATTACTAATATTTATAATTATTTCAGGGTATTTGCCTGGAAGATTATACGATCTCGATGCATCGAAATATGGTAATCAGATGGAATTACAGACACTAATCAGCAATTTCCACCAAAAAGAAATCAAATGTGTTGCAGACATAGTCATAAATCATAGAACTGCTGAAAAACAAGATGGAAGAGGCATATACTGCATGTTCGAAGGTGGAACACCGGATGATCGTTTAGATTGGGGTCCTTGGGCTATCTGCAGAGACGATACTCAATACTCTGATGGTTCCGGTAACCCTGATACCGGAGATGGTTATGCTGCTGCCCCGGATATTGATCATCTTAATCCAAGAGTACAAAAGGAGCTTATAGATTGGATGAATTGGCTCAAGGCCGATATAGGCTTTGATGGTTGGAGGCTTGATTTTGTTAAGGGTTATTCTCCTAGTATAACAAAGTTGTACATGGAACGAACACAGCCGGATTTTGCTGTAGGGGAGTTATGGGACTCGATTACTTATCTTAATGGTGCACCTGACTACAACCAGGATGCGCATAGAAGTGAGTTGGCTCGATGGGTGGAAGCCTCTGGTGGAGGAGTGGTTACCGCGTTTGATTTCACCACGAAAGGGATACTTCAGTACGCGGTACAAGGGCAGTGGTGGAGGATGAAGGACCCTAATGGAAGGCCTAGTGGACTTATTGGAATTTCTCCGAAAAATGCTGTTACTTTCTTAGATAATCATGATACAGGTTCAAGTCAGAAGCTTTGGGCTTTTCCGTCTGATAAAGTCATGCAAGGATATGCTTATATCCTCACCCATCCAGGAATTCCATGCATAGTAAGTAACTAAATCCGAACAGAGGTAGTATAATTTCGTAGTTAATAAAAAAGCGACTATATCTTCACTAACAATGTTACTTCATCTATTGCAGTTTTATGATCATTTCTTTGATTGGGGATTAAAGGAAGAAATTATAGCATTAACATCCATAAGAACAAGGAACGCAATATCTGAAACAAGTAACGTGAATATACTCGCCTCTGATCCTGACCTATACATGGCAATGGTAGGTGATAGAATCATAGTGAAGATTGGGTCAAGTATGGCGACAGGCAATTTTGTTCCGCCAAATTACAAAATTGTGACGCATGGAAACTGTTACTGTGTATGGGAGAAGCAAGGCTAAGAATTAAGTTTCTGAAAGATGTTACATTACTTTTTTGTTGATCGATCGAATGTAAACAATTCATGAATTACAGTGAAGCTTATGGGTTATGAACTTATGATCTCTTTACACCTTCAAATAATTGATCGACTAGTTGTTCACTTGTTTGCTGATAGATTTATTAGCTGTTACATTACAACACCACATATACTGACTAACTAACGAAAGTGAGTAAAAATGTAAGCCAATTGCCTCATCACCCATGATATTCAAATGATCAGTTAACGTAGCAATTATGACAGTTTTGGTACCAATTCTAGTCTTAATGGTAAGCACAATAACACTTCCCTGCTTCAGCTAGAGCAGGTCATAACTCATAAGTAAGGCCACAGCCGTGGTCCGAAAAGTGGCCAGTACCACCCTAAGGCATTAAGTAGACAATTGGAACTTTGGAAGATTGCAAAGGTGAAACTCAAAATATTATGTTCAGCAAAAAAACGAATAATCAACCAAAACGGGGCCAACCAAACCTGACCATACATGATTAGTTCTAGTTTTAGGCGTTTAGCAGTTTAGCTTAACACATTTATCTGGTCCAAGTAAAACGGCTTCAGAACAAATACAAAAAAGCTTGAGAAAAATTAAATCCGGTATAATTAATAGCGTAGGACGAATTATGACGTTTTAAAAAAAATACTAACAGCAACTCGATTCATAACTCCCAGTAGTATATTATTGAATTTATATCAGCCCAAACATACAGCTTTTCGGCTGGAATTTATCTACTCGATTTATAACTTCCTCCTACTTGTCCTCAATGGCTGTCGAATGTGTAGGTTAAACCTCATCTTATAAAGAAAACCTGACTTGATAGACTGAACCCAACTCCAAATAGAACCTGTACACGAGTCAAATGACGTTTCATCCTAACACCATTTATCAACACATAAATAGACGAGTGGGACTTTTTCCTTCTGACACACAGGGCAATACCAAACAAAAAAATGTTATGAACATTAGCCTTACCATACTGGGTGGTAAAACTGATAATGAGTAATTGATTTCATTGATATATTGTACAAGTGTGTAGTCTGTACTACATATTTAGCTAAGCTTAGTGCTATTGGAGATATATTGGTATCATAGTGAATTTCATCTAGTTGAGGACTTGAAGCACTGAGTATTGACGAGGGAGTGTACATCCATAAGACAGTGCTAACAGGAAATAGGAGTTCAGGAATAGCAGAAGCAACGAAATTGCTTGTAAAGATCATTACAAAGGCTTGCACTACCCAAACAAACTCACTGAAACTTTGTATCCATATTACATGACCTGATTTAAGCCATTGCAAAAGATCAATGCGGCTAATGGTTGTATCATACGTATTACTCCGTACATGACAAATAGACTCATACTTGATTGCCCAATCGAATAATCCACGATTACATAACTCGTATCAAAATTGACCCTAGCTGACCAAACAAGATTGTATCGTGATAAACTAATCAGCTTAAATCTGGAATAGTCCCCAACAGTCAGCACATTGGCTTAAATTGATCGATTACTAAACCAAATAACTCACAACAGCTCTGCACCCGAACCAAATTCACCAAATGGAACTTCTTCTAGATGACAATCCTTACCAGCCCCTAAATTTGATGGAAAATGAAAACCACTTAAAAAATCGAGTAATCAAAGCGCATTTGATTAGGAAATTAAAGAGCCCTCCTTTACATATAATCTCAGGTTTCCTGGCAAATATAGAAAGTACTAAACTATTATCCATGACTATAATACACCCTCGTCTCTTACCATCTTACTATCCCCTCTCTATCCATCTACTAATGATTGACAACAAAAGAGCTGTAAACATAAACATTTTGAAGAAAGACTTGCTAAAAATAGGTCCTAACATATACTGAATCCTCCTCAAAAACCTAGTACGGAGTAGAGAATATTGTAACTAACCTAATTTAGAGTTTAAACTAACAAGAAACTTACTGCACAGATGATCTGTTGCTAGAGAATTTACAGAGAAGTTATATTTAGCTGTTCTGGGAAGGTGCCCTCTTAAGTATTGTTATCATCAGTCTCTCTCAGGAGCATCTCCAGGTGCTTTCCTCGCACTCAGATTCCCTGGATGTGCCCAGATCCTCTCAAATTCTTCTGCCAGTGTTTTATCAACTTTCACATCCTCTTCTCCTGCTTTAAGGTTCATTTTGCTGAGGGTGGAAAGTGATCTAGGACTTCCTCCGGCAGCAGGGGAGAAACAGAAGCTTGGGGTAGCAAATGGTGAGCCATAAGGAGTATGCTGAATAGAGAAGGGGCTAGGTGACATACGTTTTTGGATTGGGAGACCGCCAAAACCTCCTCTACAGAAGAGCGATTTGGACTCTGAAGCTGATTGTTTTACAGCATCGTCCACAAATAATAAATCATCTATTCTAGCCATGATGTTAAATGCTAAGCTCTCCAAAACTCTTGAGTAGCTTTCTAGTATTGCTTGCCCAACATCCTGCACCACGGGATAAATGCAAAATTTTCAGTACTTTCACTATAAGAAATGCATGCCTTCCAGCAATAACATGGCAAAAACTTTCATCACTTCATGAATTTTAAATCCAAGTGAAAACAACAATACAATATTACTTCTGGGGTAATTAGCAATGATGCAGCAAATTATGGGGCATCAACAAAGTACCTTGTTAAACTGTATCTTGCTCATATCTAGAGCTGTTTGTGGAAGTACAGGGAACCGAAGCTTCAGGAACCTCAAAAGCGTTTCAGCACGTCGTGCAAGAACTTGATTCTTGTCATTATCGGATACAAGACCTTTGACCTTGCTACCCCAAGTTGCTCGTTTACTTCTAGACTGACCTGCAAGTCTTTTCTGATCTTTCAATCTCCAGACATGAACCGATGCCTCGATCCTATTGGCAACTTCCAAGATTTGATGTTCCGAAGACAAGTCAAGGCAATCAAGTAGGCAATCAGGTGTGAACAGCTCAGCAGTTACGTAGCGGTATATGACCTCTCCTAGACAATCTTTTCCGTTCTGCCAAGGCAAGTTTTATTAATCAGTAAGCACATTGCTACACAGAAGATGGATCAATATCAGAGAAAACCACATTGCAAAGTAAAAGATGGGACATGTTGGACATTAAAACTTGGACGACAAGAGCACAGATTCTAGGAGCAGAAGCTGCAGAATGAATACCAGTACTCGGTCACAGAAAAACAGACAAATGAGGGCAAATCTACAAAACTCTACAGACTAAATTCAACCTATCAATAAAGGCAATAACTATCACTCTGATGAAAAACAAGCATAAGGTATTACTACACATTGTACTGGACTGATCAATGGAATAGTTTAGAACTCGTGTATTCAATTTTAGTTGCAGCAGCCAAATGAGTGAAGATTATTTTACCAAAATTACAAGCATCATCACACCTATATCAGGCAATAATGGTAAAAATAAGCTTCTCACCTTAGGCAAAGACTCCAAATAAACGTCAGGAATCTCCATCTCAGCAATGACACTGGTATTAATAGCCATAGCAGCCTTGAGAATCTGATTAGTACAATCCCTACACTGCTGCAACCTCTTCCTAGCATCCTCAGACAACCCACGAGGCGGAACTTTTGGACACGGCAACCACCACTTCTCCTCCTGCCGAACAGACGGCCGACCATTAGACACCGCCGTTTTAAGAGGATCCCGATCATCACTCTCTCGGTCAGCATACGAAAACTCAGTCTCCTTAAAACCTTCAAGCATGCTAAGCAGCATTGCATCCAATTTCTTAAGAGCAGGCAGATTCACATACAAATCCGACCTCGGCCTCGTTGCCATGACCTCAAACGAACCCCCACCAGGAAACTCCTGTACCGATGGGACTAATTCAACAATTGAGTCACTCACACATAACAACCATTCCATTTCTCTGCACCACATCTTCTTCCTCTGCGACGCTAACGGCTCCAATCTCCATAACTCCCCAAAAACAGTAGCTACCCAATTTCAACAAACAAACCAAAATCAGACTAAAATTTTACCAAAAAATCTAACACCATCAAATTAAACAAAGTACAGAATGTAAGTAATTTTACCAGCAAGATTGGTAATTGCATTTGAGATAGCAAGAGCAGTGCAGACACCCTTTCCACCACCAGACATGTCCTCTCCCAACAACAACTTTGCAAATCTCTCTTTCATCAACTCTACCTCTGTACACATCAACAAACACAAAAACCCAAAAAAACCCAGAAATTATTATATAATTTTTTCAGATATACACAGAAACAGTCAATATAATGAAAAAAAAAAAAAAACAAATGCTCAAAAATGGAAATAACACAATATAGGAATACTTTGACTTATAACCCATAGATTAAGCCACAGATTTATAATACAAGGCCACCATTTTTTCACTGACCCAAAAAAATACAAAAACAAATTAGACAAAAAAAAATTAAAAAGAAAATGACATTATTATGATAAATCAAATCAGTCTCCATTCGCAGAAATTTCGCCATTGATAAATCCAATTTTGTAAAAAAAAAAAAAAATTATAGCCGACACATTAAACTGAAATTTCTCCAAAAAAAAAAAAGCAACCCAAAACACAAAATTAGAAATGTCATAATAGTACAGTACCAAAGTAAAATTTTATACAAAAAAAAAAAAAAAAAAAAAAAAAAAAAAAACAGAGATCCAAAGAAAGGAATGTGAGTACATTTAAATTATAATTTATATTTACCGGAAAAATCAGAGTCGTTGGATTGAGGGAGTTTGATATCATCCCAAAGAACGGCGTCTCGACCGGAGATAACCGGAAAAGCGAAATGAGTAGCGGCGAAGTTGAAGTTTCCGGGGTGTCGAAGAGCAGGGGAAGAGGTAGAGGTAGAAGGAGCAGCATCAGGGTCAAAGCGAAGGAGAGAGAAACTACTAGAACTTTCAGATTCACTAACATCTGCACTTAAACAGTAGCTACCACCACCTCTATCGCTTTGTTGGTCGTCTTCTGAAGAAACACTACCCATTGATGATTGAATCTGGAAATGAAGGTTTGAATGGTGGAGATCTGTTATTGCATTGTGGATTGAAAGGGAGGGGATGGTGATGGTTGTTGTTGCGGAAGGATGAAGGAGTGATAATGGAGGAGGAGAGAGAAAGTGAAAGTGGGGACCAGAGAAAGAGAAAGAGAGAATGTGGTTTATTTTACGGAGGAGGAGAGAGGAAGAAAGATGCTTAGGGTGCCCGACACAGACACTGTGGTTTTTCCCTTGGTTTTTGATAAGGCCTTTCTCTGCATATAACACATTTTTCACTTTTTTTTGTTTTTATTATACTTCTTTTATTTTCCCATTTCTTTTTTTTTTTGGGGGGGGGGGGGTGAGTAATTTTTTTTTTATTATTATTTTACGTTTTTTAACCTATAAAAAATAGGTAGTAAAATGGATAATCGGAATTGGACATCATAACCTTACTAATACGATAAACATGATCAAGATCAAGAAAGATAGAGTTATAGGAGTTATATGAGATATATGACAATATTGATAGTATTTGGATAGTATTTAGCTAGCATTATCTTTTAGAGTATCACATGTGTATATATATACCTTTCTTGTACATTCAAGTAAATTAATCAAAAAGATTATCACAAAGTATTTCCGCTGTGCATAAACTTAACACTTACATATAATAATGTCATAAAATTGAAAATACTCACCTCAAAAAAAAAAAAAAAAAAAATTAAGGATTGGCTCTTTGATATCCTTTGAACACGAGAGGTTATCAATTATCATGAGCCTTCATCCTTCATGTTAAATTCATACAATAGTACTCCGTATATGATCATATTTCATAGTATGGTATACAATCATATTCTTTGAACACATTCTACTTCCATTTAATGATTCACTACCACAAATATTATCTGTTTTGATGTGTAACCATAAATAGAACAAAAATTTTAAAAGTAATAAAATCAAAGATTGTAACAGCTCATAATAACATTGTCATTGAGATCTTTTAAAGCGCGAAAAAGAAAGTTATATACTCATGTATATCATATAGGGTCGTTTTACGAATTTAAATCATACGCAGTATTTAAAAATCACTTTCAAAACAAGGTAAAAATTGTGCATTGCATGAGTTTACAACTAGCTAGTTTCCTCTAATTGGAAATGGTAGACATAACTTACACCTCTAGCTACAATTAGCTAAGGGCTTAAGGTAAAATTGATCATATGTGACCCTAGGCTCACCCCATAAGATCATGTATATGGAGTACTAGATTTGGGCTAATTACTTTGTACGTAGTACATTTAAATGTACTGCGTATAACATAAACCTTAGCCAAAATAACATTTATAATTGTTCTTGTTGGTCTACTGTTTACCATATCCCTCTCAATTAATTTGATGTCACATTCTATTTATTTTCTTACCAAATATTGGAGAAATTGGCAAGATAAGATCAAATCACAATGGCGCTATAAGACCACTATCAGCAGTGAGGAAAAAAAAAACCTCTCAATCTCTCTCTACCCACTTTCTCACTCCTCCCATACAATTTCTCTCATCAAATGTTTTTTTCACTACATCAATGAGGAGAAAAAAAAACCTCTCATCACTTTTTCCTCCACTATTTACTATACCCCACCATAATACACATCATCTTTTTATTTTATCTTTATTTTGAAATAATGTTTATACTACATATTTAATTTTCCAATACAATTAAAATATGTGAAAATAATTTATTTTTTAATTACATTTAAAAATAATTTAATAAAAATGTATAATTTAATAACAATTTATAAGTTTTATATTTACTTTTCAATTACGTTTAAAAATAATATAATAAAAATTTATAATTTTTATATTTATTTTTCAATTACGTTTCAATTATGACTTAATAAGATTGTTATTTATTTGTCAATTACGTTTTAATTATAATTAATATTTTTTTTTTATTTTTCAATTACGTTTTATTTATAATTTAACATTTGAATTAGTAGCACATTTTTTTAATGAACACATTAAATAGTCACATGGGAACTTCAATAACGGTAATACAAACACATGGGATGTTAAATAACGGTACAAGTACGAACTAGATAAAAGTGGTTCTACTAAAATAAAATACAAACACGAGTATTAAAACATAAATAACGATACGGTTACAAATAACAAACTAAAAAATTATTTATTCAACCGCATTATGACGAAAGTTCTGCCATATGTGCTCCACTAAATCTTGTTTCAGAGATGAATGAATTTCTCTATCACGAAGGGAAATCCTTCTCTCCAAATACGTGTTGAAATCAATGTTGGGTGGTCGCCCGACGTTGAATTCAAATGGCTCGTTGTTAAACACCGTGGCACTTGTGCTCGGGTCTGCCCGCCTCACCGTACGTTGTGGTCGATCTTCTTCGTAGTATCGTTTCAAGGATTAATAAATTTAACAGAAATAATAATAAAGAAATTATTATAATAATAATAATAATAATTATAAGAATACCAATAAAACTACTACTTTTTTAAAATTAACACTACTACTACTACTAGTAATAATAATAATAATTATAATAATAATAATAAAAATAATAATAATAATAATACTAAATAATAACTAAGGTTTTTTTTTTTTACGAATAATAATAATAATAAAAATGATGAAAATAACTCAAAGAAATTGGGAAAAGAAGGAAATTTGTAGTATTTATAGGTTTTTTGAAAGTATATCAAAATATATCAAAATGCATGTCTATTTATAGAGAAAAAAAAAATATATCCGTTGGTGAATTTTGTTTTTTTTTTTTTTTTTTTTATAATTACAACGGTTATATTTACCTTACAAAAATATAACCGTTGTAATAAAAGCAAAAAAATCTGATTGGTTGGAAGGATAAAGCCTGACGCGTGTCGCATCCCCATTGGCTGGGTCTGACGCGCGTCAGGCCAGCTGCCCCCTATTTTTTTTTTCCCTTTTTGCCCCTCAAAACGGCGTCGTTTCGCCCTTCTTTAAGGCAAAACGACGTCGTTTTGCAAGCCAGAAGGGAAAAAAAAAGGGAAAGACGCGTGTACGAGTGGGGCCCACTTGTTACTGTTCACGAGTATTTCCCCTCAACTCTTGTGCGTTTTCCATTGCTCTCAACGGTGAGGGTTTTTCCCTCACTAACGTAATGCTCGGGTATTTTTTTTACACCCTTATTTTTACTCGTGAGGGCTTTTCTCCTCACTGCTGGGAGTGCTCTAAGAAAGAAGAAAAAAAAAAGCAGACAAAGAAGCAAGCAATAAAACAACGTATGGCCCAGAAATAGGCACAAAAAATTGATGCCGATGATAAGGAAATAGTATAACTTTATATGGTCTATTAAACTGGCCTTGGTATTCGGGAACAAGAGTAGAAAAACCCAGTTATTAAACTAATAACAAATGTCAGCAAAATCCTTTATTTGCATAATTAATTTTAGTTTATTCCTGGTACTTTTTTATTAAGCTTAAACCGGCCGTATTACAACTTTTATGAAATTTTATTATTTCCTACTACGAGTATTAAAATCATGAGTCAAGCATTTTTATTGTAGTTTTCTTATTAGCTCTTTTTGGAAATTAATTAATTAGCAAAGACAATTACGAGTTTATTAGTTTGACTAAAGTAACAATTAATTATGTTTAGAGAAACCCTATTAGAATTAGCATTAGCTAGGCATGCTATGGAGCCCACCATTACAATGCATTCATGGGGATGTGGGCCGGTGGAATTCCTTTAGTTTTAATGTTTTTTAGAGGAAGAAGAACAAGGGGTAACTTCGGGTTTTCCCTCTTTTGCATTAAAAAAAAAAAAAAAAAAAAAGGAGAACAAGGGGTAACGAATGATAAAGTAACAACATGATAATGTAACGTTTTTCTTTGTTAACCGTAGAGTATAGACTAGCAAGTAGCAACTAAGGCCTAATTATGCAATGAAGTATGGAGCTATTGAAGTATCAACGTATGGAGGAGTTACGATGTGTCTATTTCTGAACATAGTAGTTGATACACAAGTCTTGTGACTTTTGAATTGTGATTGAAATTTTGACTTGATTTCTAGTAATTCAACCAAATTACTCCTATGGTTGAAAATTTGACTTAATTCGTAGTAATTTAACCAAACTAACTCGATTGGTTCGTTGATATTGATATCACATACATACTTGTAAAGTTGTAAGTAGGGGTATTCGCGGTGCGATTTGGATTCTAAACCGCACCAAAACGCAAAATTGTGGTTTGTAATTTTTTTCAAACAACACCAAACCGCAGTTTGCGGTTTAACAACACTTTTTTTAAAATTATAATCTTTATTTATATATTAAAAAGCGTTCCTAAAATATAATATATGCCACGTTTCACCTTTTTTAAAACATATAAACATCACATGTCAGCAATATGTGCTACGTGTCACTATAAACATGACATGTCTCCTATGAACATCACATGTCAACAATAACATGCATGTATTAGGTTTGACAACTAAAAAATGCTTATAGCAAGACTTAAACTCGAGACCAACAATTTTTGTGCTACAAGTCTTACCATCTTAGCAATTTATTTATTGTTCTTTTATGTCCGACAAAAACATAGTTAACTTAGATAAATAATCACTGTTTTATTATACAATTTGTTTCCATTATACCCAGTACAATTTTATTTCCAAAACAATGTATACAATTTTTCACTTTGAAATAATTAGTGTTTTATTATATAATTTGTTTCCATTATCTATACAAAATAATAGTTGTTGAATGTCTTTAAATATATCATAACATATCATATATTGAATATGGTTCTCAATACAAAACTTATGAAATCTCAACATAATTATCAAGACACTAAGAAAAAACAATCAAACTTGATTAGCAAACTAAACAAGTACAAACTAGCAACCCGGAGCATCAATCCGGGCCACACATTAGTTATTTTTTTTAAAACAAAACTTTTATTTTATTTTGTAATTATTAATTTATAATTCAAATATTAATTTTTTTTTATTATTTTTTTTTACCTTTAATTAGCTATTAGTCAAAGATTAGCTCATATATTTTAGTTCTTTTATATTTATTTTAATAAAAACACAGTATAAAAACCGCAAA